TTAAGCAACTTATAGGCATTTGAAATATTCGATTTTTCCTAATAAAAAAATAAGAGCCGTATTGACTCATTTTATGTTAATTAAATATAGTTATATAGGATATTTATAAAGAAATTATATCCAAATAGAAAATTGTTGGAAGACTGTTTTCTATATACAAGATTATTATAATATAATAATAATAATAATAATAACAATAATAATATATATATTCTATATATATCTAACAAACCATCTCCGTTCAAAATCGTTATTCATATACAATGATACCTATCATTGCATTCAAATTTAACAAATCTATTGTAATGACCTATCCTATAAACGAGGTGCACTCCATCCCTTACTGGATAGCAGAGCGAGGCCCATCCGGTTCTTTTTTTCATTATTTCGTTGAAAATTCGGTTATGCGTAGAACCAGAAACGTTGGCAATTTCTTTTATTTCAGCTTTAGATTTTACAGTTTCGATATTGCTTTGATCGGATACATGATTATGTTTGTGAAGAAGACTTTTGGCTTTGTTTTTGTTTAAAGTTGTTTTGATATAGATGGACACTTAAAAACTACTTTTCAGATATTTCCATCGAATGAATTGTTTACATTCTTTATATTTTGTATACATATAACCATTTAGAGGAATTTTTTTTATTATTTTTATTCGATTTTAATATTTCCATCGCGAAGCACAAAACTAATTACACGAATAATCGATTGAACACAGACTAATAACGTAAAAACAGCGAGTATATCAAATATTAAATTAATAACATTAAACTTGAATTGATAATATTAAAAAATTGTACATGAATTTAAAATCATTAATATCAATATTATGACGTGTTGCATCGACTAATTTAGTAGGTAAATTATAGTTTATGTGCAATTATTTTTTTCTTATACAAAGACGTGTTTATAAAATGTTTTCATTCAGTTATCTAAATATTTTCAATTTAAAAAGTTATCTTAGTCTGATTGATATTCTAAAAACATAATTTATTGATTTAACAGTTTTAATAATTTTGGTGTTCCATCTTGGTGTACTCATAATTTAATTAAATGTTATATTATTAATTGTTGGAAAAAATAATAAAAGTAAAAAATGTTAATAGAATGAAAATGGTAATTCTTGATTTTTTTGTGCAGCTTATAAAATTAATACTGCAGTACCTAGATGTATTCATCGTAATATTACAGCACTTATATCATGATAATAGTTTATTTTACAAAATATGAAAATCACTAAGACAAAAGTACATAAAGGTTCCATATTACCAAAATATAATTATCTAGATGTAGTTTTATTAAACTAAATTAAATTTATAAGTAAATTTGTATAAATCAACATAAAAAATGCATGTATTTTTAAACGCATCGTTCGAGAAAACTTCTCATTGAACATTACTCATTTTAGTTATCTAAAATAATTTTATTTTTATTGTTAAAATTCAATAAAATTACATCAATACATAGCGTTATAAAAATGTTTTATCTTGCTGTAAATATACTACTCCAAAATAATATACAATTGACGTATTAACTTTTAATCTTTAAAAAAATATTTTGACAATAAATTATACTGTAGAAGAACTTTATGTAGCAGTACGTCGAGAATATGATTAAATGATTAATAACTTAATGCGGGACACGAGTTTATTCTAAACGTTTTTATTCCTTCAAGTGATATTTAATTGTTCAATTACTGAGATCGGTATTCTTATGAGTTTACTAGATTTAATTATATTGAACTGGTACATACATTATATTACACATCGTACGCTCGTACGCATGTATGTCAATCACGAAAATCAATCACTTTATACAAATAATTAGTAAATACAAAACAGTTTTTTATGTTAAAGTTATTATTATTATGTGTGATTATAAATTGAATGTATATTTATACTTTGGTAATTACTAAACTTCTAGAATTCTCTTATCAAAACGGAAAAACTGATTAGTAATATTTTTTACGACTATAAAAATTAACAAAAAATTACTACTTGGCACGTTCTTCGACCCGAGCCTTCGCTTCTACTCCTTGTATACATATAAATATTTATGTAAACAATATGATTCCATAGTGGTAATATAAAATTAATTATATCGCAAATCTCTAAATTTATTTGGTATACAGAATTCCAAAAATTCCAAGAACATGTTTACGTTATTTAACAATGTTGAAATAATCACAGAAATAATTAAATAATCACCAAAAATTATAAAAAGAAAATTTAAATATTTATTAATTTGTTTTTCATAATTTTCACATTTAGGGCTGGATTTGAACTTAGTCTTTAAATTATACTTCTAAAAATTACTATCCAATAAGTACTAAAATTAGTTAGAATTAATAATAGATTTAGTTCTGTATTTAGATATTTCACTGCAAATAAATAAAAAAAAATTTAAAATAATGAAACTTTACATTTCTATTTATCTGGTACTTACAATTTATCAATGTGTTACTAAATAATAATAATTCGCGAAAAAAGTATTTTTATTATTACATTCTAATGTATTTTGGTCTATACGGGACTTTCTCCTATCGTGCTATTTTTATAGTCTGTTCATCTCAGAGGGCGGCCTTTATGAATTCGTATTTCCCATTTAAATATACTATTAAAAAACTTCGTTAGCTTAGTAAAAATGAATGATACATAAAACAGCTATTCTAAATGTCTTTTTTTTTTTTTTTTATTGTAAAGTAGAACTATCAAAGAAATGACTTTATAAAGCCCAATCTTCCCATAGGTACGGTACTATACTATAATATTCATGAAAAGCCATATACTCATAAAAAATATTATTTGTAAATATTTGTATATTTCCATAGAGACTATTAGTATAATCTGATACTTTTAAATATTATATATATATATAAATTTAATACACGACGTTATTGTAATAAACGCTGTTTATTATGCTACAAACATTTAGTTTTTATTGATCTGTTAAGTATTATACGCGCTTAATTTTAAATAAGCTTTGGTAAATAAAATGTAGTATCGTGAAAGAATATTTAATGTTAACTAACCTAGTAAATAACTAACTATTATTTAACCTATTTAGGCATCGGTGGATTTTCAAGTAAAAATTAAACATTTTTGCTCAAATAAGTTTGGAATTTGTTTTCTGTAATTTAATTTTAAAATGTAAAAGTTCGAACTAAAATAGAAATGATATTCGAACTTTAAAAATAGCACTATATTAAGATAACATTAACAAATTTATTGGACTTTTACTTGTTATCAAAAATATATTAATATTCAACCACTCAAGTTAAAAATACTTAACTTGTGTTCTTTATTTTTAAAATAAAAATAATTTTTCTTTTTTATGCTAAATTATTCACTAATATTTTGAATATTACATAATTTATTTATACTGAAAGTATGCTTCTCCGAAAACAATTGTTTGGGTTCATGATGGCCAAATAATTTCAAGTATATGCGGCGTTATGTTTTCAGTTTATAATTTTAATAAACGATACAGGCGTCGACTGTCATGTTTGACAATTTTTGTTCATCCGTTCATAAGAAAAATACATTTAAAAAGATCACAATGAGCATAAATAAAAATTCAAAATATCTTGAGTTTAAGTGTACTTACTGTTAATATGTATCTTTAATAATTTTTAATGTTGAAAAACTACTCTGATGACCCAGAAGTAATTTTGTATCATAGTGCTAAAAAGTATGCATTAAATATTAATAAACAGTGGGTTTGTGACGGTAAGTTTATATCAGGAGATCAGTTCATTGCAGTAGTAGTTCAAATACAATTGAAATAAGAGTATAAAAGACCAAATAATTTTTGTTAATAAAATATTATAGTTGTATGAACAAACGTAAATTTTATGAGTAACGATGAATCGTAGACTATTAATTTCGAACAACAAATTTGGTACAATCAATTGAGCTGATTCATTGGAATCTTAACATTGTATCATAATTACATGTATAATCCATTTGAACAATAATATGTTATACCAGTAGTCACAGTATGATAATACAGTTGTAGTATTAATATAGACGGGCCCGTGTCGATATTGAAATATTGAAGAAAAAACGCGTTTGAATAAACCATTGTTGCAAATACTTATACATTACTTATTATGATTTTGCATTTAGGTTTTGAGCAACCGGTATAAGACGGTAATGTCTTGCGTACAATACGATTTCTTCGAGCTACGGTTCTATAGACCGGTAGTATTATTTAATAAGTTTCATCACACTAACGCATATTATTGAGTGTTAAGGTTAGTTATACATAAGGTATGTACGGGTTGTAACCGCGTACAAGACTACGCGTTAAACGAAACGTGCGTCGAACTGTACAGTTGTCCGTCTTGAACGCAAGCGTAGTATACGCATCAATCGCAGCGCTATTATGTGTAGACATCGAGCGGTATTAAACGTTGACGTTTCGTCACACTCTGTATGCATTCGACTGTACGGGTACACGTACGCACGACGGCCCATTGTTAACCGGCACCGTTGGTGCACGCGGTCCATTGATTATTTATTTATTTATTTATTTTTTTCCAGTTTCGATCAAGCCCACCGTGGACCGCAACGCGCGGGACCGCTGGACGGCGGAACGCCGAGACGGGATCCCCGGACGACCCGCGAGGGCCGATCGCGGTTGTATTGCACGTGGACCGCGATCGGATAAAAGTTCAACGTTTACCCGCGAACAGTGCTCGACTTGGGGGGGGGGGGGGCGCAGGGGAACGGCGTTCCCCTTCTAATTTTTAAAAATTTGAGCGTCCCCCTACTATTATGATGTTATGACTGTAACGCTCAACAAGTTTTGGGGACGCAATTTTTTTTAAGCAAACCCTTCTTTAATACTGCCAAGTCGAGCGCTGCCGGCGAACCCAATCGGGTCGTCCCGAACGGGGTCGGTGGGCAGGAAGGGGTACACGAACGGGGAAATTACGTTTCTACAAGTGTTCGGAACACGTGACGCTCGACGCGCGATGCGTACAAGCGTGCGCGTAAGAGCGCGCGCGTCCGCGATCGAGTGTGTGCCGCGCGCGTGTGTGCATGAGATATACGCGCGTGTGGGTGCGCGTATACGGCACCGAGCGGATTCTTGTACGGGACAAGTGTCGTCCAAACGACTGTTTCAGTCTGTCTCTAAACGTTACGCCTTTACGTTTCGCCCACTTAACCGTCCGCGATTCCCGCGCACCGCAGCGATGGCGTTGAGTCCCGTTCAGATATCGCGTATAAGACGATCGTGGTCGGCACTCGCCCAGGATCCGACCGAACTGGCGTCCGCGCTGGTGATCAGGTAAAAAACAAAAATCCTTAACGCGTTTCAACGCGATCGATAAACAATAAACATTGTTTTTTTTATTAATTTTTTTTCTCTCTCCGTAACGCGTACCCGTGTGTTTATAATTTTATTCTTTTACGTGTGATTTTTTTTACGATTTCGTTTTTTTTTTTTTTTTATTTTAATTTATACGACACGTTTTTAACGGATTTACGTTTTGTTTCCGTACCGTACGCAACATTTACAATCGGTGCGAAACAAAACTCCTCGAGATATAAGTACAATATCAAAGCATTTATCTATAAATCATTTTAGAAAAATACCGAAAAAATAATCTATAATCGATATGCTCGTGGAGGATAATTTCTCAACAACAATTATTAACAATATTTTAATGCAAACGATCATTTATACGATCCTCGTATCTATAAATTATTCATTAAATTCTTATGATGACGGCTAAAAATAAGAATTTGATGAAGGAGAGGTGGTTGTTTTTTGAAACATTAGTTGATTAAAAAAAAAAAAAACAGCAACATCCATTATGGATCATGTACAACTAATATTATTTATTTTATTATATTATTTATTTATATTTTCTTTGACAACATTGCAACGTAACTTAAAACGTATTATTGTAATAGGTTTGTTTAATCAATACAGCGTACGAAGAGTTAGCATTTACGACAAACATAATTAATTAAGTTTATTAGTTAACTTATCACTTTAGTAATATAATAGGTAGGTTCGAATTTTTCAAGTGGTTAGCTATTAGCTTGATTGTTGGCATTTATAACAAAACGATTAGATATTTTACCTTTTAATTTGGTATTAACAGTTAAACTTTTTTATTTGTTCTATACAAAAATTGAAAAATATTAATAATTTAAAAATAATATATGAACAAAATTAACTTTATTGATATGAAAATTGGCTCAAAATTTATAGTAAATTATTTTATTTGAATATGTTTAGTATTATACAATAAGTAAATACTAATACATGACAACGGGTACAGTACATGTTTCATAAACTGTAACTGTAATTTCCAATAAAAATACCGGTAAACTATTACAAAAAAAAAAAAAAAAATTAAGCCAATGTTGTTTTAATTAAATTTTGTATTTTGCTGAACAATTTATATAATTTACTATATCATTTGTGAGAAATTTAACTACAAATACTTCATGATATTAAATATTTATTACAGATGTAGAAAAATAAAATATGTAATATTAGACAATGCAAAGACCTAGATGTCGAAATGTAATTTAAGTAATATTAATAATAATAGTAATAATATATAAAAATAACTATATAATCAGTTGCTTCTTAAAATGTTGACTAAGTAAATTATTGTACTTCGTATTTTAAGTTTCTTGGAAAAAACAAATTGACTAGCAGAAAAAATATTGGGCTTAATTAATTTGCTGTTACGCATTTTTGTAGATGAAAATTATTCAAATCTATGTTTATAATGATATATTATCATTCGATATTTGATTTTTATTTACGCATAGAGTATCAAATATTGGGTATTGTTATGTAATCTCAAAATTTGAAAAATATATATTCTTGTTAATAATATATTTAGTAGAGAAAAATTTCAATTATTTATAAACCATATTTTAATTTTAAAGAATGTTCAAAGAAAACCCTGAATACATATCACTATTCAAACGGCTCAAGGGTTTGTCGATAGACGAGCTCCAATCTAACTCTCAGTTTAAAGCACATGCATCGAAAGTAGGCGGTGCACTAGGAGCAACTATCGATCACCTCGACAAACCAGAAAAATTAGAAGAATTACTTACAGATATTGGTATTAAACATAGAAAGTATGGACTATCACCTAAACATTTTGAGGTGAGAAAAAATTAAGATTGAATTCTTTAATCTAAAGTTGCTTCATTTAAGTATGACTTTTTTTTTATTATAAAATTTCAGTTGTTTTTCTTTACAATTTTAAATGTTTACTAAAAATGTAAATTATGCAGAATATTAATAAATAAAAGTATTTAAACTATTTAAATAACACAAACGTATCATGAATTTAATATTTTTTAAAAATTATAAGAAAATGAATTCATCTTTTCGAACGCACGTGATGGAGTATCTATAGTATCCTTTCTTAGTAAACGGACTATTCTGATATTTTTTGGCGGTAATTATATTTAACATATCAGTATATACGTACAAAAATCACTTAATCGTAAACGTATGGGTAGTTTTAAAGAATAACAGAGACGTAATAGAGTAACAACAATTCTGTGTCATTATAATAAATAATTCATTTAAAATCATACGAATCAAATTTGGTCTAATTTTATAAATCGTTTTATTTACACCAGAAACATTGAAAATTAAAATTTATAAAGTTCTAAAAAAAATAATTTATATACACTATATAACATTCACATAAAACGTTAAAATGTTCATTACAAAGATTTGCCAAAGTGGATAATTAATAGAGCAGAGGCGGCTGAACTTTTTTCGGCCACGATCTACTAAAAATATACATCATCTTTGAAGATCGACTTTCTTGGAAAATTTTTTTATAAACCAGAATAAAAGATAAAAATTATACAGATAAAACTTATCGACAATTTGTTCATAATCACCACGATTAATTTTCGTGTACATGGTCTAAAAATAAATTCAAACATGATCGATTCTGAAATTATTCGCGATCGACCGTTTGGCCGCCCCTGTAATAGAGTATACATGATTAGTGTAATTATATCCACCATTTAAAACAGAACCACGTACATAAATTAATAAATGCATGATCGCAGTATTAATTGTACTACAAATTGAGAACAATTGTTTTTTTTTTACAAATGTATATTCAATTATATTTTATTTTCGAAATGTTTTATATTAAATATAGTTATTAGGTACATTATTATAAACATTGTCGAGCAATCGTTCACAAATAAGAACAAACATAAAATCAAATTTTGTATTTTATTTTTATCCCATAAAAAAATTATAACTTAACGAATTCTTATACACTGAAAGTGTACATTCACTTTGTATGATGACTAGGTTAGTACCATAAAGAATCTTGAATAGATTTATTTGAATGACAATATTTTTCAGATTTAAAATCCACAAAGTTACAAAGTTATGTTTAATTATAGGTTGAGAAATGGATAAATAATCGTTAAATATACGATTCTATAATACTAACCTAGACATAATATTTAAATAATTAGAGCTAAATCATATCACTGTTTTCCTAGAAATAAAATAAATAATTATTAAAATCATGGAGTATCGAATCAATTAGTACATGTACATGCCAGGCTGATACAACAATTTTGCCATCATACGAGATTATGTGTTTTTAATTCGTTATTTTTAATTTGATGTTCAGATTAGTACAATAATTTTGTTGTAAAATCTAATTAGAACTATATGACGTTGGTATACTAATACTCCATTGTTTGTAATTAAGGTTATTAGAAACGTATTGATTGCCATAATAGCCGAAGCAATAGGTGACACCGATCCAGAACTATTAGACTTGTGGAAGTCCAGTCTGACCGGAGTGATGAGTATTATAGTAGCCGGATGCTGTGAGTAAAATATAATTTATTTCGATTGGATACGAATAAGGTCGTTGCGAAAGTGGTTTTGTAAACCCATTATTCGTTTTGCGCAAATATAATGTAACCGTATATTGTATTATAATTACAAATTTAAGATGGATGTGTATCTTATGTCGTGAAATGATTTTTAGATGCATTTACGGCGTTAATCAATCGTAAAGACCGACTATCCGCATTATAAATTATACTGTTGCGAGTATTTTATATTCTTTAATACGAAGTAAATATTAGTAAAATGAGTTGAAATGTATTGTTTTAGGTCCGTGACTGCAGTTTGGTGATATATTTTACCGTCATATATACACATTTACTATTAATTATTCATATATTTTTAACGAGGGTTGTTCATTTTTATGGTCTCATATAATTTACTATTGTGAAAATTAATTAACCATACGCATGTCATATTTATTATTAAACGCATAATTTAACGCGATTGGAACAACTTAAATTTATGTAACTAATTTTTATAAATTATTATTGTTTTTTAATTATCTTGACTAGAAATTGTATTATTTTTTATCATTTATACTAAAATAAAGTTTATTTGTATTGATATAAATAATATGCTATTTTGTATTGTATTACCATTAAAATATCTGTAAAAAAAAAAAGAATATATGTATTATGACAATAGGTCATAACATTAAGTATAGGTACCATTTATATCATTTTTTCCCATATTACTTATTAACGTATGACGTGTATCCATTGTATTAAACTCGTATTTTAATTCGTAAATGTTTGATTTATAAAACGAAATAAAAACCAACAATACCTGATTGTACTTAATTTGTATGGATGATGTATAGTTTAAATAAAATTAAATCGAAAGGAATCTAGTATTTAGGTACATTTCAAGTATAATCATGTGCCAAAAAATGACTATTTTTCAGTCGATACTTTTCTAAAATAATATAATACTAGTATACCCATTGCGAAAATTCGCAATAGATAATTTATTTATATAATTAAAAGTATAGGTGCAATCGAATCAATACATAAAAATTATTTTTAAATCAATAAATAAGTATAATATTGAAAATTGAAAGACATTTTGAAATTACAAGAGTGTTTATTAAAATATATGTTCCGCAGCCTTAAGATAGACTATGTATGAGAAAGTGTAATTATAACATAAAATAATTTTACAGTGCTTCTTTCCAGACAATATTAGCTAATATAATTAATAATATTAGTATTGTTTGTGAGTGGTTTATTGCTATATTACTGGGTAAGAGCTAATGAGAACACAGTATTTGGAAAAAATTGAAAATAAAGTTGATTGTGCATACATAACTATCCTCAAACTCAACAAATATAAGCAGTTAATAGCTAAAAAGAAAGAGCTTGATCCACTGAGTGTTCTAAGAGTGAAACAATCAAGATCCATTCATTAGAAGATGAGCTATGAGAATTTGAAGGTTGCTTGAGTGAATATGTCCCATAAGAAATGTACGGGGAAGAATCGCGTTGGTGGGAGTTGAGTAAATTTCAATGATTAATGACATATATGTGTCTAAATACCTTTCATTAAAAAAAAAAAAAAAATGAACCAAATCGCCGGATAGAATGGCCAGACGGACTTTAGTTTTCATAAATTTTTTTAATGCATAAGATTACAATTCATGCATATATAACCTAAACTGACGGCCTCTACATTTTGAGCTGGCAATTTTTTCCAAACCGACGTTTTTATTGTTCATACGAATCAGCTTTGTAGATGTTTTCGAAACGGGAGCACCGACGTGCAAAGTGTTGCACACTACCGAGTCGTCTATTCGTACGAAAATGGGAAGAAATAAGTTTCCATTCGCGTGACCGATTGTGGTTAGCGTCGTAGCTTTATTTATACCGAAATATTTACAGCTCGAAGCCGTACGTTTAGTGAAAATGTATAGTTTCCGAGAGCCGTGTAAACATTCCGATCTCGCCACATATTTGTACACGCCGCGCGCATCCATTATTATCAATTATTGTTTGTTTTGCCCAGACGAACAGAACCGATCGTTACGCGTAACGCGTAGCGATAAATCATCGGTCGTCGTTAACCGCTGTCCGTTCCACTTGCGCGCGGAAAGATTAAACCCGTCGTGTAAACAATTACATACACGACTGTAGTCGTTTGGCGGGGACGTAATTAATATTTATCAGCTCTGTACGTGTTTAAGAACGTCAATACGTTATGTGATGCGTTAGCCCCAGTGGCGTAGCCTGCGAGATTTCGAAAAAAATCGCCGGTAGGTACAAAAAAAAAAAATTAAAACATTTTTTTTTTTCTGGTTGTTATTGCTCTGATTTTTTACTTAAGTTTTACAACTAACAGCATCTATGTATCCGGTATATACTAGTATACTGTATAGAACGGGAGGCAAACCTTTTTTTTTTTGGGTCGAGTGCCAAATTTTTCCAATTAAGGTTTTGAAAATCATTCACGTGCCCTAAGGAAATTATAATTTGTAAGGATAAAAAAAAAAAAATTTCAGATTTATTACATCATTTTTATCGAGTAGGTACATATTTTTTTTGTAATTTTGTTAAATATCCTTAAATTCGGTGTCGTACATATAGTTATTTCATGCTATTTTTCAGTAAATAAAGTTTTCATTGCAGGAGTGTACTTGGTCATTTTTAGTGAAACACGAGCAGCAATTGTTTCATCGGTCAAAGCATTTCTTTCTTTCGATTTAATTTAATTCGTTGTAGAAAATACACTTGCATAAGCATATGCTGACGAAAAAATTGAAAGTATAAGGAATATTATTATTCTTTAAATGTATGTGATTTGTTTCTTTGAATTTTTTTATAACTGTAATTTTACAAATAGCATACGTTTATTTTGTATAAAACTTTTAATAATTTAATTTTTTTCGCGTGCCATAGGTTCGCTACCCCTGCTTTATATAGCCTGATATTATTATTATTATTATTATTACCCAACCGTCTTTAAAATATACATATATTAAATCTATGCTTTTATACTTGTCTTATTGAAAAGAATATCAAAATGTTATGGGATACGAAAAACATTGGGGTTGAGGGAGGAGTGAAATCCCGGAACAATATTTCTTATTGGAAATCCATGGCAATGTGTTATATCCCGTCTTTTCTCAAAACCGATTTTAAATTATAAACATGTGTGGCCCTTTAGTTGCTCGAGCTAGAAATAATAGGGATTTACCAAGTCGCATTCACGACTCAAGCTGTAGATGTCCTTTAGGAGTCGTATTTTTCCTTTTTATACTAAGTGCAAGTACACCGGAAATTGGATCGGATCAAACCCAATAGTTAACGATATTAGTGTATTATTTGTAATATCATACAGTTAATGATAATCGATTACAATGATATAATGTGTGCGTGGAAACAGTACGTAGACAGGTGGGATCTTCGCAAAAGGCTGCGATGTTCAATGAACGGTACATTTACACATTAAGTTTATATTCCTAGAGCATATTTGAGGAAGTAAATTTTTTTTTTTTCATTGGCTTTTACTACCGTAGTAATATACATATTTATATGTAATGTACATTTATTACATAAATTATAAATATATTGATACATATTATAATAATATTATTACAGTATATCGTCTCACCTCTGCATTGCTGCTTGTATGTATAGAAACTACCCTGTTCGCAAGTTTACCTGTTATGGACAGATTCACTCAGATGAAAATAATGAAATTATAATTTTTAATTTAAAAGTTTTCGTGTACTCGTACGTGTTAATAAGACTGTTAATGTAGAGTAATGTTAAAACTATTTATTCATCGTTAGGATTTTAGAGCAAAATAAGTGCACCTTCCCAACCGCCTCGAAAACTTATGTCAAACACGCCAAAGGTGTACTCACGTAATTAACTAATGTAGATGTAAGATATGCATGGGTTATAGGCGGGGTGTCATCGGCCAGGAGATGATCTGGTGGGATCACAAGTGCTGTATGATAATGTGGCAATGAATGTGATACGAAAGGGTTGGCATAACGTTTTGTCATAATAATAATTATAGCCCTGTTACGGAACTATATATTACTCTATACTAGGCTATTACGCTGGAGTAGTTCCGGACCTATCTACGGTTCCAAAAATTTTAAAAAATTCAAAGGCACACATTTGAGTTAACACATGTTACCCGCGGTTTTTACCACGGTTTAAAATATATATTAATTCGTTGTAAATTAAATCAATTTTAATTTAATTCTGAACCTCATATAATTAAGATGTCTGTTAAGTCCTGAATTATAATGGTTTTTTTTTTTTTAAATTGAGGATCCCAATGACCTGAATCTACCCCTGAAGTATTACGTATAATGCGATGTATACGTGAAATTACCGCAGCGAATACGTCTTTATTATACATATATATATACTCGTATTGTATACATTGAACCGCGCTCCGGCACTATAAATTACGGAAACGTATTGATAATACACTTCAAACGACTATGAGAGTTTTGGCTCGTATCTGCAGTCGTAGTAATAATATAATACTGTACTACAGCGGTAGTTTTTTTTTCTTATCAAATTTTCCGGTGTATAACGTACAACGATTTGTATTCATCCTTCACGTCGACTTCATACACGGCAATTAATATATATTATATACGTTTACATATATATTAGTTATTATTATGTAGAAATGTAAGCGCTCCTATTCCTCGAGACTACGTCAAGCGACGGCATGAGATCAATATGCATAATAAATGATATACGTCCGTCTAACTTAACCGACAAATACGCACGTTATGAAATAGTAATAATAATTTAGCTGCGATAAGTGCAGTGAATTTCAACACTTGTGTCGGAAACAGACGCAACTGTACTACATAGAGATATAGTCCTTTGTACCACGACCAAATATTATTACCTCATCAACGCCACAGCTTTTCGTTACCCTATCGTACGTTCCGAGGAAGAGCGTGAGCATTTCAACGCATAAAAATCGAATATTTGTTGATAAATTGATCCGTTTTTAACGTTTCCACGGTCGGATTATTGTTCCATCGTTGCATGTATCGCCATTCCACTACGCTCGTTCGAGCTTTTAACATTAAAACGATTCATTGATTGACTATTCAATTTTTGTATAAAATAAATATTCCACAAAAGCGTTCTACTCGGGAAAATTAATTGAAAATTCTACTTTAAATTCTGAGTGAAACAAGGATTGTATTGGTTTTATCTTGATTTGTGTTTCAGATTCTAAGTGAAACAAAAAATGTGTTGGTTTTACTACGATGTGTATTAGTTTTTTTTTTTCTTATATGTCTGTGTACGTAATTTTGAACTGAAAAATTGCTTCGATTATCATCAAATGAAACGTATAATATATAAAATGGGTTGTAGTTATTGCATTGAAGGAATAGTTTTATATATTTATCGACAGTTTTCCGAAGGATTAAGAAAAATGGAGAAAAAAATAGGAAAAACATTTCAGCCGAGATTCGAACCAGCATCACTAATAATCCCATTATATCATG